CTCTTGCTCCAGCCATAAATTATGTGGATACAAATATGAGGGAATGTGTCAGCGCAGAAGAACGCATACTAATAACATTGAGGTATAAGATTCTTATATTTCAAAAAATCGAACAGTTCCTAAATTTGAGAGTATAAATTGGAAACAAGATTATATGTTCAAGTTACTGAAAGTAAAGAACTCAAGGTAGGTAACACAAATAATCACAATGATTGAAAAATTATTGAACAACTTTCTCCATTGAGACGCACGATTTACTCGATCAAACTGCTTCCTTGCTAATCGCATGCGACTGAAAACGAGGAGATCTTAAATCGTACGTTTCTAGACGACCACTAAACGACCCGTGTGCGGGATCCAAATGCTTTGCTTAGGAAGTCGAGTAGAGGGGAGACAGTCGTACGATTCGAATCGCGTCGCCCATGTCGCCGATCGACCCGTGTGCGGAGGGCCTTATTCTTCCAAAGGTCTCATGTAATCATTAACTCAGTCTAACAGATATCCTTAACAGGGTACATGCACTGGTTAACCGATCGGCAGTGGTTCTCAACTTTTTTGGTCGGTTTTGACATGAGAATATTCCTTATACCATCGAAATTACTAGAAAATGTGTTTTCGGCAACTTCACTGAATTCAAAATAGTTGGCAGAGTGGGAAAAAAGTCGAGCTTTTCGCATAGAAAACCATTTGATAATCCTCTGTCATTGACAGTGGCTGTGTTATCGTCCATGTTTGAAAAGTGCTAGTCGAGGTGCTAGTTGATACCAGGCCACAAGATAGTGAATATCTTTTAGTTTGAATGCTTTAGGTATATGAGTTCTGTTTTCATTAATCAGTAGATATAGTTTTTCTTGTATTTAAATAAAAAAACAGACATGTCGCGGTAGTCGCGAACCCGTTTTGCAAAAGTTGGCTCTGTTATTTCTCAACCAAAGTGGTCAAGTGGTTGCTTCGAAAAATGTACAGATTTTTTTCTAAATATTGATTCATTTACATATCTAGTCATTAAATATTAGTTTGCGGCTATCAAATAAGGCCTAAATAATATTTCTTCTGCAATTCATTCATCGATTGTCGAGAACCTATACTTTATCACCGAACATATAAACAGAGACTGATTTGACAATATTCACTTCTCGACCACTGTGGTCGAGAACCAGTTTGAACTAAATTTTGGTTCTCGACCATATCCTATCTGATTATCTCTCGTTATGTCTATGTCGAGGTCTATGTATTGAATAATTTTTACATTGAAATATTAACCATATTTTCCCATGAAAGACCTATTGCAGCTGCACAAACTCATAAATATGATTTATTTTGATTTTAATTGTTCATATAGCTATTTTAGGAATCGAAAACAACGACAGTGGCAATGACCGATGACCATTAGGTTCCTACGGTTGAGAATGAGTATTTTTCATTTCTTTAGTTTTCAGTAGTCTGTCTGAGTATAAACATGATTTTTGAATAATTATAGTCTCTAAGTGGCCAGGTAGCCGTGCGGACAGAGTGTCTATATTCTAATTCGCATTCGCTTGCCGGTCGTGGGTTCGATCCCCGTCGACTGCAGAAATTTTTCTGATGGCCCAAGAAAGTGTTTGGGATCACACGTTAAAAGGTAAGGCCCCCGTCATTCTTTGCTCGCACAAGACTTTCGAAGACTTTTGAGGGTTGCTCGTAAGGGGGCAACCGAATGACGGATAGAACAAATTTTAGAACAAAATTTTTTTTTAGAACTTGTGTTTTTCAATAATATCATTTCCTTGTGAATCAATCTAATGGACGGTGGTCGAGAATCAACATCAAAACGGTCGAGAACTCTGCGAGGTGGTCAAGAACCAGTGAAATTGTAGATTTTCTCCTTTTATCAAGATTTCAAGAGTTGAATGCGAAAAAGTTTGAAACATATTCATAAATTACTTATGAGTTATCAAGGAATCGGTATACCAGTAACTCCAATACAATGTTATATAGTCCAATCAAATGGTATTTTCACTTGGAAAAAATTCAAGTAGTCGGTTTCTCTGTGGTTTCATATGTTTTTGAAGGTGCTGAATTCGAATCTGAATTTTGCAAACAAAATTTCCTGGAGCGTTCCGAGATATACGCAAAAACAGCAAAATTTTCGGACTTTTTTCGGTTTTTTGCTCGCAACTAGGAAATTATACGTTATATCGAAAAGACTGCCCTATAGAAAGTTGCGTAGATAAAATTTCCTAAATATATGTGTCATTGTTCATGGATGTAGAGCTAGTTGAAAATTTACCAAATTCGCGTAATTTTCAAAAAATAGCGTTTTTCGTCGGTTTTCGCAGATAATTCCAAATCTACGCATTCCTCGAAGAAACGAACTATATATACTGCCTGATATGGAAGAGTCCTAGCCATGTGAATTCTTACCTCTGTCAGCATGTAACTCATGACTCTCGACTTTTCACTGTACTTAAGTATATTCACATCAACTAGGAAGAATATTGTTTTTCTTACCTGCCTCTTGTTTTTGAAGAAAATATAGTTAGTAGAGTTAAGCTTTATCTCTTGTTTGCTGAGACTCACTCGAGGACTCACTAGCTTACGAGTTGTGAAGAACTCTTTCCTTCTCGTTTACCTGGAGTTGCTCAATAGTAGTAGGTATAGGATTTTCCACTTCATTCTCACTTTCTGAGCTCTGTGATAAGGTGGCATTCGTTTGTCTCACAGGAAGGTAAAATGTGAGCTCTGCACTTATTTGCTAGGCGATCAGCTACCTCATTCCCTTGACGCCTTGGAACCCACATTAGCGAGAATTGATTTTTATACTTATTCATCACAATATAGGTAATTTGGATAGTTTGAATAGTTTATAAGTTTAATAAAAATTTTCAAAGAATACCCTATAGCATTTGGAATTATTGTATCGCAATTATAACAACTATAATTCCAGCATACAGATTTTTTTTGTCTCCCACCCCTCAGAATACAAAACAAAACAATGACCTATTCATACGTTTTAGAGCTTCAATGAATATAGGTTCATATGATCTACCTAAGTTGAAAGGATAAACATGAGTGTGGCAACTACGACTAAAAGACGTCTCCAAGTCCGAGCGCTCAAATAACAGCCGTACATCTTTTTTGATAATGACGAAATTTACATGAACTCGATAGGAAATTTGATGCTCTTCCAATATGTGCATGATGCTATGTCTCTGAGTAATACGTAAAATATGAATTATCTGCGAAAACCGACGAGAAACGTTATTTTCTGAAAAGTACCCAAATTTGGTCAATTTTCAATTGGCTCTATCTCCGCACATTTCAGTCCTGCATTCATGAGCAAGAACCATTTTATCTAGGAAATGTAGTCTACTGGAACTTATTATTGGGCGGTCTTTTCGATATAATGTATGATTTCCGAGTTACGGGCAAAAAACCGAAGAAAGTGCGAAAATATCGCTGTTTCTTGCTAATATCTCGGAACGCTCGAAGAAATTTTGTTTGCAAAATTCAGATTTGAATTCAGCACCTTCAATAACATATAAAACCACAGAGAATCCGACTACTTGATTTTTTCCCGGACTGGGTCCTAATCGTTTTACTGAGCTAATGACCTTTTACACGGATTTACCACTCTCAAAATGGACATTTCGATTAACTGTAACATAAAGGAGTAGAAAGTGATAAGAAATGAAGAAATGGCAATACTTGAATAACTCCCTCAGTGATCTGTGTGCTAAAAATTGAAAACGTTATAATTATATATGATCTGATAAAACTCGTGTGAAGTGCGTCTTTAGGTTTTTATAAGCTTTCAATCAATAACTCATCCTTAAAAATATCTCAGATTGATGATTTGGTTTCCTAAAACTATTTCCATCTTCTCACTGTTTTCATGCAGAGCAATTATTTTTTACCCAGGCCTAATAGGTGGCGAATAACGTTCCCTGAATAAACTCGAGGTGATGCATATATAACCCAATCAAATATTTTGAAGAAGTTGTGAAACAACTCTATACAAGGTGTCTATGAAATTTTCGTAATATCATAATATCGTAATATCATAATAATGACCTCTGTCTTTTCTGTTGTCTTCACAGCTTTTCTCTTTTTTTTATCATACACCACCCAACAGAAATCCATTTACAGGGTGGGTGAATTATAAGTACATAAGAAGAAGAATAATCGAGTGAATACAAATGATGAAACATCGACAATAGTAAAGGAGATAATATTTGTGCATGTCAGTAAAATTTATATAAAAAATGCAAAGGGTGATCATATCTGCGAGCATATCTGAATTTCCTGTAATGGCATCACAAGCAGCTGCTATCAAACATATGCATTTCCAATTCAAGTTTTGATATTTCAGTTTGCACTAAAAAGTTTACGAATAATCATCGCAGATATAGGCGGTAGAATGATTCAATCCATTCTTCTTCTTATACAGAAATGATAATTATTGTTCGTACTTACTGTATATCGAAAAAATTTTCGAAAATAATTCAACCTCTAGTTGTAGATATTACAAGTGAAAATTCATACTCGGCAACTGTTCATATCTATAAAAATACTTGGAAGATTGGAATGAATAGTATAGAGAGTAGCTAGGTATCAAGGTATCAATAAAATAACTTAATTATCGGTTCACATTATTTGCGGTGCAATATAGAATCAATTGTTAGCTATTAATGCATTTATTACCTATATCTGTTGCATGCATACAATCATTTTGATAGCTGTCAGAATTTGCAAGGATAATTTAGAAAAATTTAGAAATTTGTATATTATGGCTTCATCCTTTAAAACAATTTGAACAAATATTTTATGATTGTTTTTCTGCTATTAAATTATGATACTCGAAAATTCATTTTTATGATATTATTATTGAAATAACAACCAATATTTTCTTCACTATACCTACATACTTCAGATCAAATTTTGAATCCGAAAATAACTAGGTGAATGACATCGAATACTAAAGTTCGCTTCTGTTCCTATACCAAAATATTCCCACTTACATAAAATCTCCAATGTAAATAACGACGAAACCTCTGGACTGCCGGCAACGTAAAACAAAACCAAAAACACTGATCGCGGTAGGCGCGCTTCGTTTCCTTCCGCGGTAAGTAACAGAGTTGGCGGATCACTTGATACTGAGCAACTCCACCAATTGCTTCGCTAGTGGGCACACTGACCGACTTTCCGCAGAGGTATTCCCATCTGAAGCGTCGGTGAGAGTAGCGCTGCAGAGTGACGTCACACAATGTCACACTCGCAACCAGGTGAGTCGCGTATCCGGGAATCTTCGTTTTGGAGGTCGCCACTCGAGTGCACCTTTCGCGAAGGAGACGATCTCTATGCAAGAGCTAACAGTATATGGCCACAAGTTGGATGCATAGAACCGAGGGGTCAAACCGCGGTGGAATTCTGGTGTATAAACAACTGGAATTCCTTGAAATTCCCTAGATGTCCTTGAAATTCCTTGAATTCCCTAGGAATTCCCTCCAATTCCTTGGGTGAAATGGAGTATATTCCTGGTCTACAAACAACTGGAATTCCTTGGAATACCTTGGATTTCCTTAGAATTCCATAGAAATCATTGGATTTCCTTAGAATTCCTTGGATATCCTTGGATTTCCTTGGATCTCCTTGAAATTCTTTGGAAGAAGTGCGATATAATTCTGGTGTACAAACAACTGGAATCTCTTGAAATTCCTTGGATTTCCTTGAATTTCCTCGTAATTCCTTGCATTTTCTTGGAATTTCTTGGATTTTTTTAGAATTCCTTGAAATTCCATGAAATTCCTTGGATTTCCTTGAAATTCCTTGGATTCACTTGGAATTTCCTGGAATTCCTTGGCTGAAGTGCAGTATATTCCTGGCCTGCAAACAACTGGAATTCCTTGGAATTCCTTGGATTTCCTCATAACTCCTTAGAACTCCTTGGATTTCCTTGAAACCCCTTGGATATTTTTGGATTTCCTTGAATTTCCTTGAATTTCCTTGGATTTTTCTGGATTTCCTTGGATTTCCTTGAAATTCTTTGGGAGGAGTGCGGTATAATACTGGTGTATAAACAACTGGAATTCCTTGGAATTCTCTAGATTTCCTTGGCAATCCTTGGAATCTCTTGAAATTCCTTGGATTCCCTCGGAATTCCCTAGAATTCTTTGAGTGAAGTGCGAAGTGCGGTATATGCCTGGTATACAAACAACTGGAATTCCTTGGATTTCCTTTGAATTCCTTAAAAATCCTTGGATTTCCTTGGAATTCCTTGGATATTCTTGGATTTCCTTGGATTTCCTTAAAATTCTTCGAGAAAAGTGCGCTATGATTCTGGTGTACAAACAACTGGAATTCCTTGGATATCCTTGGATTTCCTTGAATTTCCTTGGAATTTCTTGGATTTCCTTGGAATTCCTTCGATTTCCTTGGAATTCCTGGAAATTCCTTGAAGTTACTTGGATTTCCTTGTGTGAAGTGCGCGGTATTTTTTCACAGTATATTATCCTTTCTCGTGAAAAAAAACATTATGAACCGATCAGCTTACGTTTCCGTTTTCATGTCGTGCTCAAATTGACAAATCAAATCGTCTATGTAGAATAGGTAAAGTTAGTGATAAGTTGAATATTTCTCACTTGTTGGGGTAATCTCGAAACCATCAAGGTTGTTTTTCGTGGTCCTTTCAAATTTTAGAAATGGCGAAGGCGCAATAATAAGGAAAAATTATTGATAAACGATTTCATGACGTCATAAAGTTGGACAATCAAATTGACCATAGAGAGGGGCGCTTGATAAAATGTTTTTTATATGGTGGTATTCCCAAAAATTTTGAGGTAGCTTTTTTGTAGGACTTCCAGATATTCGAAATGGCGAAGGCGCTATAATGAAGAAGAATGTTTGGAACACGATTATTATATTCGGTTGTTTATGGAGTCTTTCAGCCATGAATTTTTATACATAAAAGGAAAGATTCATTCAAAATGGAATGTTATTCATTTAAAATTATATTTTACTCGTACTTTACTTGCAATTTTTTGTTTTTTGTTTTAGTATCTGCCACAACAAGAAAAAATTGGTGACGAATATAGAATACCTATATGTATCACTCATATATTATATTCATGAGTCAATTGCAGCTGCCAGTTTTCCACCATTAGAACTAGAAGCTTATATATGGAGCTTATGGAAATGAATCCTTTGCAACTTCAACAACAGCTCATTTTTTCCACATGCACATTCATTCGTTAGGTAACTTATTATTTCTATGTAGGGTTCTACCTATATTAGCTCCTAACCGCATTTTAACGCACTCTCCAAAACTGGTATACTCTCTGGAATTCTTTGCCGAGCAGAATCTATGAATTTCTGCCAGAGATTATAGAGTAAATACAACAACAAAAATTGTCAATTTATAATGTAAACCCTGAGATATAATAATCTGGGAACATCTGTTTACACTTTTTACAGTAGGTATATTTCTGCCTTGTTGGATTCTAATAGTGTATAGGTATAATAATGTCGCTACATTCAATATATTTTCAGAATAGTGAACAGGATGAACAAATTCATAAACATACACGGAAAAAAATCTTCTGGTTAGTATAGGCACGACCAGATATCTCGTGACCTTAACCATTTACCATTTGATATGGTATCAGCAACGATCCGAATCTGGTTGTGCCTATATCCACCAGAATATTGTTACGATAATATAACTTTTTCACTGTGTAGTTATTTGAGTTTCCTAATCCGGTCAGAAATAATACGTCATCAGTTGGTAAAGTTGGTACAAGAAAGACAAGACGCATCTGTATGGACTGACCACAGGGAACAATAGTATATTATTTAACGATCACGAATTTATAGTGATTTCCAACGAGAATGAAGTTTGCAGCATGAGCCGTTACTAGATGGAAATCCATAGCAAATGTAAACACTTCACAGACGATGAGATTTCCACATAATTCTCAATCACACGACATGTTTCGAAACACAGGTGAAATACTGGTGGAATGACCAACGGAGCAAGGACACATGTTTCTATAAACTCTATTTGCTAGAATCTAGAATATCACAAGGAATCGCTCCTTGAATTTTCTCTGTGTTATTTAGTAAAAAAGTATCAATGTTGATTATATTTAATGATAATGAATTTCGAGATTAATATAGCATTTTCCACATTCAGTTCAGACAGATTTTCCGTCCCACCAGGTCATTTTATCAATTGTATCAACTAAAGTTTCCAGATCTCCACCAATATTTCGAAGTTTCATGGCAATTAGTTGAATTTTATGATTGATATTGAAATATGTAACATTGACATGATCGACATGATATACCAAATATAATAAATACTACATATATTGTTAGAGTTTTTGGAGTGGACGAAAATGCATTGATGATTGAATAAAGGAATAAAATATATATATCGAGCTCTGTCTTTTCAATTCCCCTAGTATCAATGATTGTCAGAAACAATTTTGAGGGTTAGATCATTTGTCAAACCGTTCATAGCCGTAGGTATAAGTGAGGAATAGGGCTATTTTAACTAGAATAACTATTACATTTTCAAATAATGAACAACAGGGTGGTCAAATTTCGAATCGATAGTTTTCATAATCAATTCCTGACATGACTATTGCAAATTTATGTCATCAGATATTTCTTCAATTGATTAGATATAAGAAGAATAATTTGAGTGTTCTACGTGGTGTCACATATAACCAAGAAAATATAGCTGTTTTCTGTTGGGATATAAAAAAATAGAAGATATATAATTGTTTCAATATAATTTTTTCCTTTTCTCTCAATTTAATAACACTCAGCAGAAATAAAAGTGACAAAATGCCTTATGAACATTGATTTTTATATTTATCTAACATTAGGGACAATGAGATGTTAAAGATCCAATTGATAAACTATTATATACACCTGATAACTATACTTATATCAAACTTATGGTTCATATACTATACCGGGTGACCCGGAACCAATTTACCCCCATGTATCTTCGATGTTATTTTGTATGGATGTTTCAAATTCGGTACTTCGATTTGATGTTATGAATGTACAATTTAGCAAGTATCAATCCAAATATGTCACTTCCGGTTTTTATATTTCGAATAGGAAGTATATATTATTTTTTTTGAAGATTACAATTCGGTATAGAATTACCTTTACAATGACATATCACAATCATACTTTCACTTCACAATCTGCTGGTATAATTGACATTTTATAAAAAAAATACTTTTTGTGTTCCCCTCGTAATGGAACATTTTCATGAAAGTATGCTGTGGAAGATTGAACAATATCATGTGAGCAACAATAATTCAATCTTCCACAGCATACTTTCATGAAAATGTTCCGTTACGAGGGGAACACAAAAAGTATTTTTTTTATAAAATGTCAATTATAGATTGTGAATTGAAAGTATGATTGTGATATGTCATTGTAAAGGTAATTCTATACCGAATTGTAATCTTCAAAAAAATAATACTTCCTGTTCGAAATATAAAAATTGGATGCGCTTCCGGTCAAACCGGAAGTGACATATGTGGATTGATACTTGCTAAATTGTACATTCATAACATCAAATCGAAGTACCGAATTTGAAACATCCATACAAAATAACAACGGAGATACAGGGGGGTAAATTGGTTCCGGGTCACCCGGTATAGTAGATATAATGGGAATCATATAATTGCAAGACTCTTCAGATCAGTATCTAGGTACCTATACCATATAGGATTTCTCCTATGGTGACAAGGTTCCTATACAACAGGTGTTCATATCCAGTGGTACCACAAGAGAATTTGATAGCGAGTGCTTTATTTAATTGTGTCGGTTTCCCACCTCTTCCTGCAGTCTACATTCACCTGTAAATTTTGAATTTGATCTGAATTAAAAACACCGTGGACTGATAGCACATTGCAATTTCTCTAAATCTTCTAGTTTTGATTTCAAAATTTTAATTTCTTTCCGCATCATCTCATTCTCATTTTCTTTCTCTGCGATCGTATCATTCAGTGATTCCCAATACGATGACGAAGGAACTCTTTTTTTGAACGTCTCTATTTTATAACGCACAGCAGACTCTTTCAATTTGAAATCCATCGGCTTGAAAGAATCTCTATCAAAATGGGCCAAAAATTCATCTTTTTTGTACTGTTTTTACAAG